AAGCCCAACCTCTTTCTTTCCTTTCAAAGTGACAGACCATCATGATAAGTAAGGGCTTTTGCTACTGAGCCCTGTTCTTGCTAATTTTCATAGGTACGTCTTTATTTTGACATCATCTTAAAGCATTCAACTGACAAAGTAGCTAAAAGCATTCTTTCTAAAGTGCATAGAAAAGACCTAACATATTAGACCTGAGACTGCTGTTTAAAAAAAAAAAAAAAAAAAAAAGGCCTGTGGTGGTTGACCTTTGGCTGGTGTCTGGGAACTTGACTTTTAGGAGGATTTTCTGAAAAATCCCTGATAAAAATGGTTCACCGTGCTTAAACTGTTTGTGTGAACAATATGGTTTATGCCGAACATCTGCTTCTGGATGTCTGGAATTTTAGTATGTGCTGGGCCTACATGACTAGCCCCTTAAAAATATTGGAAATTCTTTTTTTTCTCTTTTAAAAACATTTTTAAACATTTCAGAGAGAGAAATATCAATGATGAGAGAGAATCACTGATTGGCTGCCTCCTATACTCCCCCCCTCCCCCCTTTACTAGGGACCGAGCCTTCAACCTGAGCATGTGCCCTTGACCAAAATCAAACCTGGGACCCTTCAATCCCAGACCGATGCTCTGTCCACTTAGCCAAATCAGCTAAGATGGGAATTCTTTACTGTGCATCCCTGGTATTTACATGGGTTGTTATAACTTGTTGCTGGACGGATTAAACATGTTTTAGTGTGACTCCACTGGGAGAGAAGTCTTTGAATTGTGCCTGTTTTCCTCTGGACAACACCCCATGTGCCTTTTTGCTTTGTTGATTTTGCTTTTTATCCTATCTCTGAAGTAAATCATAGATCTGGGAACAGACTATATGCTATCTTGTGAGAATGAGTCCTGTGAATTCCCCTAGCAAATCACTGAGCCTGAGGTTAGACTTGGGGGCCTTAACACATTAAAAACAAATCTTACAAGAAATTTATGAATCCTTAATACAAAGTAACTAGTCAATGTTTAGACTTCCTTAATTGTATTTTTTTTTAAATATACTTACATTGTTAAAGATCAAAACAAGATCTGCCCATTTCATTTAGTTGAGTGGTTAAATCTGATCCTATATATTACTTCCCCTTTTATTCAGTTTTTTCATTTTGCCTGGACTTTGCTGATTATATTTTTGAAATGGTGTTTAACATGTTTCTCTATTAATGTTAGTTTCCTGAAAGCTAATACTTAATTCTAGAGGTTTGGTTGGGTTTAAATTATATTATTTGATAAGGTTAATTGAGAAGATGGTGTTTACTTATTATATGTCCCTGGGAGGCACATAATACCTGCATTTCTTTTGTGGTAAAATTTTAGGTGATGTCAGCCTGATTGATCCATCATCCACTGTAAAATTTGCTACCAAGTTTTAATGGTTTTTGCAGTAATAAATCTTTACCTAGAACCACTATTTCCATAAGTGTTGCAGAAATGGTGATACCTCCTTCTATCTTTCCTTCATTTATAAGGTGTTATTTTTTCATAAAGAATTTACCTCAACCATTTGGTTCATACAGGAAAAGTAGGATAAATGAATGATTCTTGAACTTTTTCAGTGTTCAGATTGAGTACGTTTCCTAGCACTCTCAAGAGGTTGGCCAGTGAGATTTTTATTTCTTAGTATCATGAACTAATGGATTTTAACATTTGTATTAATCTAACTCGTGTGTGTACGAGCGTGCCCCCAAGTTGTCCCATCTCTAGGTTATGAGAGCTTCTTCATGTTGAACCTGACATAATAGTTTATTTAGAAAATGTTTTTATTGACTTGGGAGGGAGGGGGAGAAGAAGGGGAGAGAAAGATCATTTCCAGAGAGAAACATCTTAACTCCTTTACCATTTTCACCCCATCCCACAACCCACCTCTCCTAAGACAGTTGTCAGTCTGTTCTCTATCTACAAGTCTATTTCTATTGTGTTAGTTTATTTGTTCATTAGATTCCACATGATTGAAGTGGTATGGTACTTATCTTTTTCTGTCTGGCTTATTTCATTTTCCATAATGTGCTCCAGGCCCATCCATGATGTCACAATGGGAAAGATTTTATTTTTTATGTCTGAGTAGTATTCCATTGTATAGATGTACCACAGCTTTTTTGTCCACTCATGTACTATTGATGGACACTGGGCTTGTTTCATTTTGCTTTTGATTTTTAGGGATTGCTCACATTTTGTGGATTGTTTTATAATTATGTGAAACATTACATGGTTCTATAAGTAAATCTGTAAAACAAAAAAATACATTAGGGGAAACTGTCCCTCCTTGTTCCTCCTATAATTATATATATAAATTTTTTCACTTTTATTTGTATTTCTCCTCACATTCATTAGGGAGAAAATAGCACACTATAAACACTGTTTGCATCTTGCTTTTTTTTGAGTTAATATAGCTCTCCATATATATCATTCCATAGCAGATAATATATTCTTATTTTATAAGAGCAGATAATATATTATTTTTTAATATGTTCTTTTATTATAATTTTTATAATACTCCATTATATAATTGTATCTGTTATTTTAAGTGGTTTTTCTATTATGGACAGTAGAGTGTTTCTAGTTCCATTATAGACAGTGCAGCTATAAATAGCCTTATATATGCTTCTTTTCATAAGGATTTCTGTTTATATTTGGGATGGATTTCTAGAAGTGGAATTCCTGGGTTAAGAGGTAAATATATAGACAGTTTTTCTGGCTTTGCCCTAATTCCCCTCTACAATGGGACAGTACCTCTTTGTATTCCCATCCATCAGTAATATATGAGAATACCTGTTTTCCCATAGTCTATGAACATATTATTATCAAACTTTACAAAATATTTTAAGTGGATCTGTGTTTTAGAATCTTGGGCAAAAGTGTGATATGGACTATAAGGTGTGATCCTAATAATGGAGCTATGTTGGGTCTTAAGAGATTTAGAGAAATGCAGGTCTTAACTAAGTGGGTATAGTTTCATTAAAAAGTGTTGAAGGTATAACATAAGAAGGACCTAGTAACTAAATTAGGAGAAATTGGGGATAACTCCTAAGTTTCTGGGAGTATGAAAGATTTCCTTTAGAAAAGGCTGAGCATTAACAGATTATGGGAATTCTATCTTGGATAACTTGGATTTCAGATGCTTCTGAGACATGTGTTAAAAATGTAGTTGGATATATGAATCTGAAGAGGAAATTTTGGGATAGACTAGAGCTTTTGAGTCGTCACTTTATATAGTAAGATTTTTATGTAGATGAAGATACCCAAGAAAAGAATAATAGTAATATTTGAGCACTTTCATGTTGACTTAAGAGTAGTTTATATTCCCCTTCCATGTTTATTTTTTACACAGCAATTGACATAACATCTCTTTTACTAGAATTAGAAAAATACACTTCATTTTTATGACATTATTTATAGGCTTACTATATACATGTAGATTTAAGGGTCATATACATATACTGTATAATATAATTCTGTTCTGAACTAGTAATTTATTTCCTGGGAAATGTAGCTTAAATTTTTTTTTTAAATATGGAATGATTTACCTTATTTTCTATAAATATTTTGTATATAATTTTAAAACTTTAAGTTCCCTACTTTGTTCAAAGTATTTCCAATTTTTGATGTCTAATTTTGGCAAACTTAGACAAATAAATGGAGGGAGGTTTTGCCATTAAATTATGCTTTTTTACTGTATTAAACATCAACAATATATGATAATATGTCAACATAATTTTCGTATTACAGCTGAGAAAAGAATCTGATCTAAAAGAGTTTTCTACCTTATATGGCCTTAAAAATATTAAGGCAGAAACCAAATTCACAACCAGGAGTACAGTTATTACCAATAGGTATATTTTACATATGAGATTTAGCCACAGAGGTATTTTAGTAACTGGTCCAAGAATATAGAGCAGCAGGAAGCTAAAGTTGGAATTTAAACACATACAGACAGCCTGAAAGTAAAACATTTTGAGTGATAAGGGTCTCAAAACCTTGCCATATAAATTGAAGTGAATTCATTTCAAATGTTTTTATTTAAGAGAGAAGATAAGAGGGCAGCAATATTAGGTCTGTCATGGAGAGAGTGTAGATTTCTTCATGGAACTTAGGCATACAATGAATGTGTTCCAAATCTTATCTTTGGTTCAGTATCAAGCATCTTCTCTTTTTTTAGGATTATCTTCTCTTTTTAGGGTTAAAACCGACACCTCATCACTTACTATCTGAGCAAAGGTTGCATAGTTATTTGGAAGGTTTGTGGTGGAGGCAGTTAAGGCACGGAGAGGGTAAAATGGGCCCCTTGCAAACCCTGAGATTTTTTTCCCTTCAATTAACTGAAATGTGAAGAGACTGGGTAATTAGCTAAAGAGTCCACACAGGTTTAGTATTAATTTATTCTAAATGAATTAGATATAGTGTGAGAGTCCTAAGCCTGCGTAGTATTTGTTGATTTAGAGCAACCAAGCCTAGTTGCTAGAGCTGCTTCCAAATTCAAACCCACTTATATTTTGAACTAGAGGCTCAGTGCACGAAATTCATGCACTTGAGGGGGGATCCCTCAGCCAGACCTGCGCCCTCTCGGAGTTCAGGAGCCCTTAGGGGATGTCTGACTGTCACAGAAATTAACTGGGTTCATGTTCTTATTATATCTAAAACAAATGGCAGGACTGGAACTGGTTCCAAATTCAGGAAGAGGTCAGCATCTACTATTTATTAAAGTAATTCTTAAACTTGGGTTAAGAAAAGGTAGAGAAAGAAGAGCTTGTGTGTTGTTATTGTTTTACTACCCCAAGTTAGCAAAGAATGTTTCACTAAGATTTTAGCAAGAGTTATTTATTCTGGCAGTTAATATCATGAATAAATATAATTTAAGTACCATTAAGAATAATATGATTAGGTTTTTCTATAAGTTGCTTATAATTTTAGTCTTCTTTGGCAGTTATCATAAGCACTGCTCTGTGATTCTTCTCTTCCTCTATTCTCAGATATCCGGAAAGTGGTATTGTAAAAGTAAATTTGAAGGATCTTCGACCACGCGCTAGAACCATTTTGAAATGGAATGAACTGAATATCGGTGATGTGGTAATGGTTAATTACAATGCAGAAATTCCTAGTAATAGAGGACATTGGTTTGATGCAGAAATTACTGAATTGAAGACCATTTCAAGGACCAAAAAAGAACTTCGTGCGACTGTTTTCTTGGGGTAAGACTCTCTTCACTGTTCTAGCATTGCTGCCGTTGGTTCCATAATGGTTTTTGTAAAGTTAAGATCTGCCTCCTTTATGTATTGCTTATGCTTAATACCTAAAAATTAGGAATGTAATTTTTAAATATTAAGCATAAGTTCCTTTTTTTTTTTTTAATGTGGGCATCTATGAAAGATGGGAATTTACTTACAAAAGAATGCTTTTAAAAATAAATTCTTGAGATTTTTTTTATTAAGAATGACCCTTAAATCTTTATAGCAACTATAACTAAAATCCCAATTAGTAAATAGACAAGTTCAGTGAATTTTCACACCTGACTTTTAATTATAGTTTGCATATGAGTGTATTTTGCTGGCAGAAGTTAACCTTTCTTCCTTTTTCAAACAGGGGTTCCGAAGGAAAATTAAATGACTGCCAGATAAAATTTGTAAATGAAATCTACAAGATCGAGAAACCTGGGGCCCATCCTCTATCATTGGCAGATGGAAAGTTTTTAAGTATGAATTTTTTTCTGGGCTTAGACTACATGTATTGTACATGATTGGCATTTTAATTGGCCAGGGAATAACGTAAAGAAATATAAAACTTAGCCCATACAATTTTATTTTTAAGACAAGAGGCCTGATGCACTAAGATTTGTGCAAGAGTGGACCTTCCTTCCCCTGGCTGCTGGCAGGGCCTTCGCTTCGCCCATAGTAGCCTTTCTGCCTTCCCACACTGCCCAGAGGCCCATCCTGCTAGGGCTGTCGGCAAGCATCCCGACCCTGGCCCCTTGGTGCCTACATATGCAAATTAACCCACCATCTTTGTTGGGTTAATTTACATACTCCTGATTGGCTGGTGGGTGTCCAGAAGGAATAGTCCATTTGCATCTTTCTCTTTTATTAGAGTGGATGGTAGTTTTAAGATCCATTTTGGTCTAATGGATTTCTCACAGGATAAATTCTTTTTCCAGAAATATTTTCTTGGCGTTTATTGCCATTTTCTCTACTATAGGTTCTGTTAAAAAAAAAAAATCTGTTTCAGTAATTTTATGGCCATCCCAGATTAATTTTTACTAATGAGACCTATTTTTAAAAAACTCATAGGTACACCCAAAAAGTCTTATAGTAATGGTCATAATACCAAAAATTAATATTAAATATCAATATTAGACAAGTAGAGCCTAATAATAGTGCTGACCAATCCTTGAATTTCTGGGAGGTAATAAATTTATATAATCATTAAAATGTATCCCTACCTCTTCATTGTACATATTTTACTTGCTTAATATGCATCTAGTTGGTAACAGGTATGACTAGATTCTAGGTCTTTTCATTTATGATTCAATTGCTGTCTTTCCAAATAGATTACAGTGTCTCAGACTCTAATTCTGGATTTTTTGTGGAGAGCAATCCATTGATTTTATGCTACTTGTCAGTGTCTAATATATTCTGGAAAAGAATTGTTAAAGATAAGAGATCATGTCTAGCCTCTTCTTACCCTAATTGTGCAAGATTATAAGAAAAGAACTTTAATAGATCAATAAACAGACTTTCATGTTACCTATCTAGACCCTTCTAATTTTTTTGTTTGTTTTGTTATTTCTCACCCAAAGATACTTTTTTCCATTGATTTTTAGAGAGTGGAAAGGAAGGGGAGAGACAGAGTGAAAAGCATCGATGTGAAAGAGACACATCAATTGGTTGCCTCCTGCACATGACCCAACCAGGGCTGGGAATTGAGCTTGAAACTAATGTACCTTCCCTTGATTGGAATCAAACCCAGGACCCTTCTCAGTCTGTGGGTCAATGCTCTATCCATTGAGCAAAACTGGCGAGGGCATCTCTTCTAATGTTTTAATGATGCAATTCTAATAACATATCTAGCTTTTAATTAAGAACCTTAAAACATTGATCACCAACCTTTCGGACCTTATGAACCACCAGTGGTCCGCAGACTACTGGTTGGTGACCGCTGTGTTAAAGCATACTCTGTATGACTATTTGTATGGTTATATCTTAAGAAAAAAGGTAACTTGATGAGTAAACCTACTTAATGTGACTTAGTCTTTCTCATTAAAACACAATGGAAAACCAATATTGTCTAGGTTTTCCTCATGTCTTTGTTTCCTCACACTCAGTATGTCTGTGTTTGTATGTATATGTGTGTGTGTGTGTGTGTGTGTGTGTGTGTGTGTGTGTGTGTTCTCTGTTTAATACTAATCACTTTGTAGCTACAACTTTGCACTTGTGTCTAAAGAAACCATATCAGAGCCATATTCAAACTTCCATTGACTCACTTCCCAACCAAAAATCTAAACATTCCTTTTAGGTTTGTTGTATTCCAATACTTATGTGTCAAGCTACCTTAGTGGAAGTGGAACAAAAGTATCTTTATTGACAAGAACAGGTAGCTTTCAGTCAAAAAGTTAGCACTAAAATCAGTATCCTTTTCTCTTTTCCTTCTTCCATACCCTTTGTCAGGTACTTTTCCCCATTTCCCTTATATTGCTAGATTAGTTTTAATATGGTAAATTTCCTTTAAAAATGTACACATTATATAAATGCAAGTAATATAGAACTTCCAGCTAACAGTGTATGTCATTTCAGACATCTTCCCCTATATAATTTATCTTTGTATATTTAAATAATTTTGCAGGTTTTTAAAATTATTTCCTTTTTGAAATGTGTCTTCCTCTATATTAATAATTCTTGTAAATTGACATAAAATCTATCCAACTGTTCTTTTGGTTAACATTTAATATTAACTTTTGGTATTATGACCACTACTGTAGACTTTTTGGGTGTACCTATGTATATTTTAAAATTCTAAGGGGACACTTTGTCAAAAGGTGTTGGATTTAGAATGCTACTTCTTAACTTGCCAGAATTTTGAATCAATTGATAAATTGGATTTAAAAAATCAACTGAGTTAGAAATGCCACTTACTCAACAAAGTATTGTATTTCCCTTGAAATTGTAAGATAACTTATGGTGCCCTAGTGAATTCACTGGATTGGTGCCATTTGGGAAACCATGAGTTTAGTCAATATAAATTTTTAAAACAAGTGCATTATCCCCATGATTGAATGTAGTTAGATTTATTACTGACACATACTTATTAAAGTCCCATACTCTGATTATTCCTTATAGTTCCTTTCTTGTCATTAAAAAAGCTGTGTAGTATTTTTATGAGGTTTTCTTTAGAAGATTCATAGATATAAAAATGATTTTAAGACTAGGCTTGCTGTATTGTGTTTTTATTAGGGAGAAATGAACCTGAATGTAACTTTTGTCGCGGAGACCCAGATAAAAACTGCCGTGATTGCTCCTGTCGTGAATGTGGTGAAAAACGGGACCCAAGCATGCAGCTTCTTTGTGATGAATGTAACCTGGCCTATCATATTTACTGCCTGAACCCACCTTTGGATAAGGTCCCTGAAGAGGAATGGTATGATTATCAGGGTTTTTTTGTTGTTACTATGTTTAAAATTTAATGTGAAATAGTTATTTGAACCGCCAAACATAGATTTCCAAAGATACATAATGTATATTAAAGTACTTAATGTATTAGGGTCTTAATACTTTTATTCAGTTATTACAACAGCTTCTGAACTGGTCTCTAGCTCCATATTTAATCCCTCCAGTCTCTGCTCCAATACGAAATCTATGTTTTAAAGACACATGGCATTTCTAATCACTCTTAGCATACATACAACACTGATGTATTTCCTTTATAGCACTTAGCTAATATAAACATCCTTAAATACTTGTTATAATAGACTATACATTTTTCTTTTTCTTTTATTTTATTGATTTTGTACAGAGAGGAAGGGAGAGAGATAGAGAGTTAGAAACATCGATGAGAGTCATCGATCAGCTGCCTCTTGCACATCCCCTACTGGTACATGCCCTTGACCGGAATCGAACCCGGGACCTTTCAGTCCCCAAGCCAACGCTCTATCCATTGAGCCAAACTGGTCCCAGCAAACTAGACATTTTTCGCTTGAGAATTCTAATAACCAATTTAGATGGGAGATGTATGGGTTGCATACATAGTTGAATGTTCAGTTTAGAATCATCTATTAGGTGAATAATTTCCATTTTCAGGGTTAGTGATAAGATGATTCTATTTGAATTGGACAACTGTGTCTGTCTTTTGAACTAAATTTGAGAATTTATGATATTAAAATATTTTATGTTCTCTAAGAGAGTAACAACTTTTTTGTTGTGTTGTTGTTTTGACCAGCCTAAACCATGTAAATATTTTGAAAACTTTAATACTTAAGGTACCAGCTGAAGCTCTGTACTATACACTGATTATAACATCTTAAAAATCATTCTGACCTACAAAGGCCATTATTTTGTTATTAGTTACATGGATTCGTGCATGGGTAGGCCCTCAGCCTGGCCTGTTTCCTCTCGCAATCTAGAGATTGGGCTAAAACCCAGCTGTCTGACATCCCCCTGAAGGGTGTAACAGTGCTGAAGCAGCAGGTGGCTGGGAAGGACCCCCAGCCAGGGCTGGGCACAGCTCTGCTGATGTTCATCCTGACCTCACTGCGCCTGCTGCTGCTGCCACCGCCACCCAGTAGCGCTGCCACAGAGACTGGAGAGGCTCCCACCCCCACAGCTGTGCTCACCAGCCATGAGCCCACTTCTGGCTGAGCCACGCTCCTGCATTGAGCGTCTGCCCCCTGGTGGTCAGTGTGCATCATAGTGACCAGTCATTTAATAGTAACAGTTGCTTAGGCTTTTATATATATAAATTGGCTTTAATATAGTATTACCATAATTCTTTTTTTTTTTTTTTTTTTTTTTTTAAGGTATTGTCCTTCCTGTAAAACTGATTCCAGTGAAGTTGTAAAAGCTGGTGAAAAACTTAAGATGAGTAAAAAGAAAGCAAAAATGCCATCAGCTAGTACCGAAAGCCGGAGAGACTGGGGCAGGGTAAAGAAAGTCTCCCTTTTTTTTCTCTAGTCATAATAGTTATAATAACTCTAATGTAAGTTATAAGGTTTCAATAACAATAGCAGTAATAGTATAAATAGTACTCTTTTAAGTATCAGAAATATTAACAAATAATTATGTTGTTTAATGATATTAATTGCTAATTTATAATTATTACTAGAGGCCTTGTGCACAGTCGGGGCCGGGGAGGGACCACAGGAGGGCTCCAGGGCTGTTCTGGCCCATCTCGCCTGGATCCCAGCAGCAAGCTAACTTGGAATGTCTGCCCCCTGGTGGTCAGTGCAACTGGTTGAATGAACAGTCAGACATTTAGCATATTAGGCTTTTATTATATAGGATAATTGTTCATTGAACTTAATTTGAATTGTTTTATATTAATCATATAGTTGGGTTTATATTCACAAGTATGGGATTTAAGGACTTAAAGGTTTAACATAACTGATTTCTCAAATGGCTCTTCTGTGACTTGTAGGGAATGGCCTGTGTTGGTCGCACTAAAGAATGTACCATTGTTCCTTCCAATCATTATGGACCTATTCCTGGGGTTCCAGTTGGATCGACTTGGAGATTTAGAGTTCAGGTATTTTTAAAATTGGCTTAGTGGAAAGGGTAAAATTGGATATTGTTCAAATTGTAAAAACGATCATTGCCTGTTGATTATAAATAGACTAACTTACATAGTTACACATGGCATTCAATTGTTATAATGCAAGATTTTCTGTTGTAATGTGTAGGCTCTTCCCCAGAGTTTGACAGAGAAACATTTACCATGAAATTAGCCTACCCGTATTTTCCGGCATATAAGACGACCCCCTAATTTTACAGTTAAAACATAGGTTTAGGCCTATATTCGCTGTATAAGACTACCCCCCACTTCAAAGAAAAGACTTACTTTGCCGTCAAGATCTGCAGGTAATTTTTGTGCAATTTTGGTCTTTTGCCCCCGATTTTCGGTTGACTTTTTTTTGTTTCAAAAGTCGTCTTATATGCTGGAAAATACCGTAATTTCATCATTTTAGCCTAATTTCAGCCTTTTCATCATTTAATTTTACTCTCTGTTATGTGATGTAGGCTAGCATTATTGGTAAGCTTTCTAAAGAAATTTTCTTTAAGTCATGTATGTGTTAAGTTCTCATCTAATGTCATTGAACTTCAAGAAGGCTCACTTTAGGTGTTTTCTTTGGGGCTTATCCTCCTGAATGATTGTTAGGTATTGGTCAGAGGAACTGCCAGATAATTTTAGGATAAAATTACTTACCTTTGCCTTTTGAAGAAGGCTCTGTTGTATTTATTCCTGATTTATTGTTTAGAAAGGTAATTTTATCATTACGGAAAACTTAAGTTTCCAATTAGAGAATTTTAAACTTTAAATAAGAGTAGAGTGGCTATATATATATATATATACACACACACACACACACACACACACAACACACACACACACACACACAACACACACATATATATATATATATATATATATATATATATATATATATATTGATTTGAGAATTATTGTTATACATTCATTTGTTGATTTTTGTTTGTACCCTGACCGGGGATTGAACCCACCACTTTGGCATATTGAGAAGATGCTCTAGCCAACTGGAGCTACCCTAACAGGGTCTACAGTGGTAACATTTTAAAATTAAAATAGTGTAATAGATATACTTAGCTTGAGAAGTTAAATACTAATACATGGCATATTTTAAAAACCCACCCTTTTTTCCCATTTTCTATTCATCAGAGGCAACCACTTTAACATTTGAGTTGTTTTCTTCTGGATATACCACATTATTTCCCAATAATGTATTTAAACTGCTTTTGTCTTCATATATTACTACTTTTATTAACTTATAAAGAAAATGAATAGTTAAACACACTATCCTCCCATCCTTACAATGGTTAAAATAATTTTGGCTAAATCAGTATTCAAGGTTTATAATATTATGACTTTGGATATATAAATACAGTAAAAATGTTATAAATACAGTATCGAGATATAAATACAATAAAAACACTCTTTTTTTTAGTTGTTTTCTAATTGGCTTTGGTGTGTGTGTGTGTATGTGTATGTGCCTGTCACTAATTCATTTCCAAATTCTAAAAGCCCCACTAAAAGGTCTGAGATGATTTTGAGGTTGTTGGTCTGAGCAACTAGAGGGGTGAATTTTCCATTTAGGAAATTGGAGAAGATTCAAAAGAGATGTATTTTCCTCAGGGTTGATGAGGATGGGAATCAGGTGATCCTATCTTCTGAAGTACCTGGTGTTTCCAAGGTCTAAATCCAGGTTCTGTTGCCCATACCAGCTTCTCATGGCTGATATGTGCCTCTTTCCCTAGTCCACTATTCAGGCATGGATTTTAGCTCCTTTTCCTCTGCTAAGAACAGTTGTATGTTAAGCAGATGAATTACAGTGCTTTTCTGAGGGAGTTGAAGTACACAAAGATGTGACACTCCGTTTAGTGAGACAGTTGTGAATGTAAATGGAAAAAATAGTAGGGCATTGAAGAAGTAGAATAGCATGAGTAAACTAAGAAAATGGGTAGCATGTTTGAGTAACATTGAGTAGTTTTGGTTCAAACCTAGAGGCTCCAGGAAGGAGAAGCTGGAGAGAAGGAGATGAGTCAGATTGAGAGAGTATAATGTGTAATACTTAAGTTGGGTGCCATAGACTATCAGACCATTTAATATATTTTAAGCAGTTGAAAATTAAAAGCAGATTGCTTCTTAAAAGGATCATTCTGTTTCTGGGGGTAGATTGAGTTTGAAGAAACAAAACTGGAAGCTGTGAAACAGGGTCTTTAACTATTAACAACTCAAACTAATAACCATGAAAGGAGAAAAGGATAGATTTGGGAGATCGAATCAGCCGTATTTGTGACCAAATAAATGGTTTAGAACAATAAAGGAGAAGATTGAGGCTAACATGACCTTTGCCTTTCTGACATGGCTAGGGAACAGTGGCATAATCAAAAATGAAAAATAAGAAGGGAAGAGATCTGTAGTCCTGATAGAAAGTTCTTGTTTACCTGAATTGAGCTATTATTAGCAATAGACAAAAAATGATTACTTAATGATTATTTTGAAACTCAGAATTCTAAGCTTGAGCACTTTTAGGAATCATCAGTTTAGTACCTAAGGAATATATATTTGGAAGGTGTAAAGTTATTGAGCAAAAAGTAGAACTCTGGATGACAATGCAGTCTAAATTGGAGGCTTGTAGGTTCAAAGGGTATATGTGAAAGCATTTTGTAAATGTAACAGTTAATTAAATGTTCAGAGGTATTTTGAGACTTTGTTTATTTTCTAGGTCAGTGAAGCAGGTGTACATAGGCCCCATGTTGGTGGTATTCATGGTCGAAGTAATGATGGAGCTTATTCTCTTGTCCTGGCTGGTGGATTTGCAGATGAAGTAGTAAGTTGTGATAAAACCTTATACTTTATTTTTAGAATATGTTTTGATCATTCAGTAAAATACAGAAGTTGTGTCTAGAGTATATCAAATCCTACCTCTTTTTAGTGTAATATTTATGCTGAAATGGTTCTCTACAGGTTACAGGGTAAATCATTTGACAGTATTTGGTCTTTGTATTGTTTTGATATATATGTAATCAGTTACCATATATAATTAACTGGTTATTGCAGTGAAAATGCATTCCCTGTAGATCTCATTTTTAAAATTAAACTTGTAATTTTGGGATAACTAGATTGACATGTAGCATTAGAAATAGTATAAATATATTTGTGCTCTTTACCCACTTTCCCTCAATGGCACATTTTTCAAAATTATAGAACAATATATCACAGCCAGGATATTGGCATGATACATTCAGAATGCAACATTATTTTCCTTACCACAAGTATCCCTCTTGTTGCCCTTTTATAGCCACATATACTATATCTGTTCCCCCAACCCCAACTCCTGATATCCACTAATCTGTTCTTCATTTCTAAAATTTTTTCTCTTCAAAATCTTTATAAATGGAATCATATAGTATGTAACCTTTGGAAATGGCTTTTTTTTTTTTTTTTCTCTTCTTTTTCTCAGCATAATTCTCAAACTATGGCATGTATCAATAGTTCATTCCTTTTTATTGCTGAGTAGGAGCATGATGTAGGTATACCACAGTTTGTTTAACCATTCACCTCTAGAAGAACATCTGGGTTATTTATTATGAATAAAACTCTTAACATTTATGTACAGGTTTTTGTTGTTATTTTGCTGATATAAGTCTCCAATTCTCTGGGATAAATGCTCAGAAGTACAGTTGCTGGGTTGTATGGTAGTTGACATGCATATTTTGAAGTTATATCTTTAAGTATTTTTTAGAAATATAAAGAATGTTATGTAGCTTATTAAAGTCAGCACTTAGATTTTTAAAGACTCTGTAAGAAAACAAATCAACTAGAGTGGAATCTCTTCAACATAATGTTTTTTAGCAATTAGTAAGTTGTTTTGATCTGGGCTCTGACCTTTGTGTGCGAGACCTTGGCCAAATTATTTAACTCCACTAACTTCAGTTTCCCAGGTGTAAAATAGAAAAAATAATATAATTTTATGTCAGGAAGTTATTGATTTTTTTCCCTCTCTCCCCTCCAAATTATTGATTTTTAAATTAAGTAATTTATGTAGTCTGGGCATATAATAAGGATGCATACAGTTCTGTGATCTGGATCAGAAACTTGTCTTAAATATATGAAACATATAAACTTATAATTATAAAAATAAAAATGAGTACCAAGTTAAAGTTAGATGGGTATTATCACTTTCTTTTTCCCCCATATTTTGAATATATTTACTAGTTATACATTTGTGGAGAAAAAGTGCTAATGAAGTGTCTTATGCTATTTCTAAATTTATTAAACAATGCAAAGAATAATTTAGGCTTAGAGATTGTCAACTAAGATATATCTGGAGATGTTATATTTTGTAAGTATTTTCAATCTTTTGACCTTTTATTGTAGGCAAATCATATCTACAGAAATAATAAATATATAAATATCCTATATAATAAAAGGTTAATATGCAAATTGACCGATAGCCCGTCGCAAAGACGTGCACTGACCACAAGGGGGGTAAACGCTCAATGCAGGAGCTGTCCCCTGGTGGTCAGTGCACTCCCATAGGGGAAGCACCACTCGGCTCGGAGCCTGGCTCACCGCTGGTGGGAGCCTCTCCCACCTTCGTGGCAGTGCTGAGGATGTCCGACTGACGGCTCAGGCCCACAGGGCTCCCGGACTGCAAGGGGGCACAGGCCAGGCTGAGGGACACACACACACACACACACAGTGCATAAGTTTCATACACTGGGCCTCTGGTATAATAAATACATAATAAATGTGTTATGGAGAATTTTTTAAATGGTACTCCAAGCTAATATTGATAAGATTTTTTTAACAACATTAAGTTAAATGAAATAATATTTCCAACCCATAAGAGCTAGTTTTGTAATCTATAGATTATTTGATCATGTGTATATTATTAGAATTGCCCTGTTTGGAGGTGTGTAACTTTAAAAAGAGATGTTTAGGTTAAATATATACTTAAAAGTATACTATATATATAAGATTGCATTTGAATTGGGCCTTATTTTGGTAGATACCTTGGGAGACCATGTCAGTTTACAACATCCCAACCAGTGTTCTGACTTTGAAACGAGAACTGATGAAATTATACTTGGGTTTAGGTGTCTTAATGATGAAGAATCTTCTCCTACAGGACCGAGGTGATGAGTTCACATACACTGGGAGTGGTGGTAAAAACCTGGCCGGTAATAAAAGAATTGGTTCACCATCAGCTGATCAGACATTAACAAATATGAACAGGTACTCTTTATTGCTAGAGTTTGTAAAGACTATTTAGAATTAAGACTATAATTTATAACTTACACTGTAGAGGAGAATCTTACATTGAAAACTAAAGATCTAAAATTAACATCCCATTACCTAATTATATAATTGTTCTCAAATCCTAACTTATTTCTTCAAATTATTATTTTTAAAATGACATATTTCCCAAACTTAACTGTACTTTGCATTTGAAAACATGTTGAATCCTTTGGAAGCAAGAAGCCTATATAACTTAAGTAAAATCGAGGACAAGGTGACCTATCAACTATCCCACAGGTCAGAATTATGTTCTACTGAACATACAGATTTATCTTCTTTTTTTTTTTTTTTTTCCTTTTAAGCTTTTTAAGTTGATTGTTAGAGAGAGAGGAGGGGAGAGTGAGAGACAGAAACATCAATGCCTTCTGCATGCCTCCTACCTGGGATTGAGTCCACAATCCATGTCTATAATCCCTTTGGTGCACGGGACAACACCCAACAACTGAGCCACACTGCCCAGGGCCACAGATTTATCTTGCACTCCCCCCACCCCCCACACACACACACTTTTTTTGAAAGTAACAAAGTTCTTTTTAGAAGAGACTAATGTGGGACAGGGAGCCACACTTATGCTCTTAAGTAACACATCAGAATTACACTTGGTGTTTTTAGGATTTATAAGATTCTTTTAAATGTTAGTGACAAAACTAAAATCTTTTTAAACTAAATGCTTGTAAGGCATTACAAAAAAGCCACCTTATGCTGTCCTTAATTTTATAGGAATATAATGACATTCTAGCTTCCATGGGATCAGAAAATTTAGTAACTTAAAAATGTTTTCTTTCATAAGTGCTTGCTAATATCAGTAATAATAAATTCAGTATTCCAAACCATGATACAGCAACAAATACATTATAACTTGTCATGTTGATAATTTGTTTGTCATCTTTTCATAAATTTTAAATTTTTTATATTATATTAATAAGAGTATTTTGTGGGTTGTTGAGTAAAAGTATTTTTTGCTTTCTTGAGTCTAAATCACTTGGTTTTATATAGTGTACCCGTAATTTCTGATTACCATGTGAAGTAAAGAATATACCAGTATGATTTCAAGACTTTGTTGAATACCAAGTTATATAGATTCTGTTTTTATGTCTTCCTTCTATATTATTTCTGGCAGTAGGATTATTTTACTGAACCAGCAGAGGAGACAGACCAGATTTGCTGGTGAAACATTCCTGAGGCAGGAGTCCAGTCCCTAGCTAGTCTCCTTCCAGCAATACACCAGCTCTTTAGGGGGGGTGATCTTAAAGTAGTTAGTTTTAATGTGTTTTTGTCAATTAAAATGTATCTCAAATTTGAAGAAGACTATTCCAGGTTGTCACATCTGAAAATTATATTTTCCCTATAATAATAGATTACTTTGTTTGAATGAGACTTCTTTCATAACTAGCTGCACTTGAAATGTACACAGTAAATAAATCCTTTTAAGTTTTTGAAGAGCCTAATAAGTTTACCATGTTTATAATCTTGTTACAAAATTACTGACAAATAGTAAAAATGTTTTAAAAGGAAGATAGTGAAAATGAAATATTAACTCAAAACACTTTAGGATTGATATATTATAGAGGCTCAAATATCCATTCAGTTAATTTATACAGTAAGCTCTGACCACAGTATGCCTTATGATTCATTGTAAAGACCTTTTAGGCAAAGGTACCTGTATGATTTGTGAGCATGAAAACTAGGTGAAAGGCCCTTAACTCTGACCTACAACATACTCTTTCCTGACTAGTATATAATCCAATTCATTTTTGTTTCTCTGCTAAGAGGTAGTTTGATACCTGCTTTTTGCTTTTTAAAAGTTTGTCCCTATTTCTTCTAAAACTCTTGCTCTTTATGAAACTGAAAGGTTAGGGATGGCAAGGTAACCAGGCCATCTTTTGTCAGGTCAGTTAGAGACAACCAATTGAGCTGTGGATAGAGTAGTGGGAGAGCCTTGTTTTAGTTAGTTTCATCATCTTGGACTCTTTTCACATACTTGTACAGCCTGGTACTTCTGTGAAGCTAGAAGTGAGTTAATGCCAGCTAGTGGTGGCAGTCATTATGACTGAAGGAACCTGTCAGCACCAAAGCATTGCACTCATTAACATGAAGATAGTAGTTATCTTTATGTTAGCTCTTTAAGAAGATGAAGTGTGTATTGAGATAGATAGCCCATAAAAATGTAATACTAGTCATTGGCTGTGTTTTCCTCTACCTCCCAGAGGAAATGTATCTCCCTTTGAGATTAAAAAAAATAATAATAATAATAAGCTTTATAATATAACTATGATTAAGATTTATTTTAGTGTTTTTTTTAATCAAGATATATTTTAGTAGGAAAAAAAGGGGGACATCTGTAATATTTTCAATAATAAAGATATATATTTCTTAAAATATATATATTTTAGTAGATAATCTGCTATATTTTGAGCATGCGTAAAGAGAACTATACCCTGAACAAGTATTTGTAACACCAGATTGTATGTGTATGTAATTTTTAATATTTATTTATTTACTTAATATATTGATTTCAGAGAGGAAAGGGGAAGGAGAGAGATATAAAAACATTAATAATGAGAGAGAACTCACAGCCTGGGCGTGTGCCTCGCCTGGGAATTGAACCATGCTTGACTTCCTGATTTATAGGTTGATGCTCAACCACTGAGCCACGTCAGTCAGGCTATGTGTATGTATTTTTGACCTGATGTGTTCTCAGTGGTTTCTTTTCACCTAAGTTAGAAAGTAGGTGTCTTAGAGAAAAAAATACTAATTTCATATAGATTCTAGTTTGTTCTCTTTTTTTTTTTTTTGGCAGAAATAAGTTCTCCCAAGAAAGACCTAACATCTAGTAACCTTACAGATTAATTATTACTGATTACGCATACTTAGGAAGCTTAAGCTAAATCAGCTAAAGCTTAATTTTCCTGCTTGTTCATTTGTCATCAGTAAAATGCACTGATCTTGAGCCGTCAGAAGTCTTTATTATCATGACTTACACTTAAATGCTTCAGTTTTATTTAAACTTATCTTCTTACTGGAGGTTTTTAAAGGATAATCTCATATTGAACTTGTTCTTAATATTTTCTAAACTTTAAGGAAGCTTTGTTATCTGGAAAGTGGACCTAGAGAGGTCATTTGTACATTGTTGACAAATGTATTTTTCTGGGTTTCTTTCTACATTATTCCAGCGATTTACTTCACTCCCATATCAAAAATAACTATTACAGCAATCACTTGCTTTAGTTTTCCAACTTTTCCCTTCCCTCAACAAACGTTATTTAAAGAAAATTCCATGTATTTCTAGTTGTTTTCTATTATACGTGGCACAGATGTTATTACTTTCAGAAGAACCCTACAGGCTATCTGAGAACCAATCCCCTGGCTTGGGGATGACATCAGAAAACTGATTTGTCTTCTCTGCTGGTGGGGGAAAGCATAATCCTATTATCTGGAATAATATGGAAAGAATCATAGAATCTTAACCATCAGGTAAGGCATAATTCACCTTTTAATTGAGCTACTGATGTGATTATATACTTGGAGAAAGATTACTTGGTATAAAGACTTCGTTTTATTTTTTAGGGCATTGGCCCTAAACTGTGATGCTCCATTGGATGATAAAGTTGGAGCAGAATCTCGGAATTGGAGAGCTGGTAAGCCAGTCAGAGTGATACGCAGTTTTAAAGGGAGGAAGATCAGCAAATATGCTCCTGAAGAAGGCAACAGATATGATGGCATTTATAAGGTGCTCTATCTGGCATGACCTCTTGTTAGTCATTCTTCCTGGGCTTTTAGGACAGGGTTACCACCGGGAACTACTGCTGTGGGCGGGCTGGAGGAAATAGTAGACTATCTTAGTTAATATTTCTATTTTTTTTATATAGCAGATACACAAATGACCTTAAATTTGATACTTTTCTTTAAAGACTAATTTCAAGACCGTAAGGGCAAGGCTATATTTGGGGTTAAGCTTTTTACAAGTGTATTCTCTATGATAAAACCACTTAAATAACTTGGCCATTGTAGATCTTGATTCTTTTATAGCTTTTGGAATGAGTTTAATTGTAATCAATTTTTAAGCAGCACATTAAAATTTCTAAATAGGTTGTATTCTTTGTTTAAAAAATAGAGACACTGTCATCATTTCTATTTACTGTTATGCAAACTCTATTAATGAGCATAATCTTGTTAGTATTTTAATTTTATAGCAATCTATACTTATATAGGAACTATCTTAATAAGAAATAAGGTCAAAATAATAATTTGAATATTCTTAATTTATTTGCTACTACACCAAAAGAAGTATCTTTTGAAGTTGCATTTAGTTTGGGGTAGTTTAAACCACTAATAGGATGACATTATGAATAAGTTTACACTTTAAATCTCAAATTAGTACTGAAATATTATGATTTAGGTGGTGAAATACTGGCCAGAGAAATCAACAAGCCATGGATTCTTGGTTTGGCGTTATCTTTTAAGAAGAGATGATGATGAACCTGCTCCTTGGACCTCAGAAGGAATAGAACGGTCAAGGAGATTATGCCTACGTTTACAGGTTAGGTTACATTTGTCTAGGCTACTTGTATAGTCATAAAAATGTAACCCTACTATTGACATACCTTAACACTGGATATAACCCACAGCGGATGGTAAGGCGTAAGAATGCAAATATACAGAAGGAAAAGCAATAAAAGGTAGCATCCTAGTTTCAAACTTGCTTTCAGACCAAGAACATGCTTGGGAAAAGTTGGGCTGGTCAATGAAAAGTAAAGTATTTCCAATCCAATATGGAATTGACTTAAAGTATAAGGGAAAGGGATACATAAACTTTTTAGATTTAGGAAGCCTTGAAAAGGGATGTGTATCCTAGATGGCATAGGGGATGTGTCTGGTAAGGGAATGGGGGAGGTGGCTTGTTAGAGTGGTCTGCTTCCTGCCCTTCTCACTTTTCCTCACCCCTTTTCTCTCTTCCCCCTCAAAGCTGCTTCTGTGCTCTGTCACCACCTATAGTGTTATACCTTTTTTTCCCCTTTGCCCATGTCATCTGTTAACTCATATAAGACTTCGTTGATTTTGTGTACATAGTGAATAATATGGCTACATTCCCCCTGCACTGCCTAGACTTTGTCCCTGACACTGACTTCAGAGCATGGTTTGAGTTCATCCGCCATCATTCCCCATTGTTGTGCTTACTGTAAAGACTACCAGCTTTATCATTTTCCCTGGCTCTGCCCACACTGCATGTGTAGGGGCTGAACTATGGGGCAAGTGTCTGACCACCCAGGCAGGTGAGTGTGTGTCTTTTAGTGCAAGTCTGTATCTGTTTTTGTTTTCTTTTTAAAATCATAGAATTTATTGTTTAAATGAGACTCATCAGCTGCTAAAATAACCGCCAAATTACAGTTGACCCTTGAACAACAAACATAAGGGTTAGGGACATTGAACACTGCACAGTCAAAAAGCCATGTGTAACATTTGATTCCACAAAATCTTAGTACTAATAACCTACTGTTGACCAGAGACCTTGCTGATAACATAGACTGTTAACACATTTCTTGTTTGTTATATGTATTATCTATAATAATAAAAGCATAATATGCTAATTAGACTAAGTGGCCATTCGAATGAAGCCAGGGCTGCGAGGGCCAAGCCCCTTGGATGACTTTCATGCACCGGGCCTCTAGTATACTATATTCATACAATAGAGCAAACTAGAAAAAAGAAAATATTATTAAGAAAAATCTGAGAAGAGAAAATACATTTATAATTCTATATTTAATGATACTTATCATCTGTTTATAAGATGAATTATCTGTCAGTACCTACATCAATACATGTAAGACACCCGTATTGTCTTACATGATATAAGGCAATATGTGTTATTAACAGTAGAGATAAAACAAAAAGATAATGTGAAAAAGAAATTTATATCTATTTAGAGATATGACAATTCATATAATAAAATCTCCAAGAAACTTTCCAATATATTTATTGAAGAGAATTTACATATAAGTGGGCCCCCACACAAACTAAACCTGGGCTGTTCAAGGGTCAACTCTAATTCTTTTTGTAATTGAAATTTTAAAAAATCTTTTGTATTTTTAAAAGACTTTCTCAGATCCATTGTTCATCAAAGAATCTTCTAAATAGCTTAGACATAAACTGAATAGAAGCATATAAACCTGTCTACTATGATGAGTTAATGTATCATTGATGAGGTTTGAAAGATATTGAGCTTTAAAAATGAATATTATCACAAGGCGTGTCACAAACAAACAAAAAACATAGCCAGTAAAATACAAGCATAATAGGTAGAATTTATTTCTTAAAGTTTGATCTTTGGCTGATAAAGAATTCAATGATTTAGTGGTATGAAGTATTCTAAAAGCTTTTATTCCCCTTTCCCCTAATTTTGAGAGAGAATTTTGGCCCTTAATGTTTTGGTGGGTTTTTGTTTTGTTTTGTTTTTTAGATTGGCCCCACAATTTAGTGTAATCCCATCTATGTGAGTACCATCTATTGTGCTCTGCGGTTGATCTTCACATATCTTCATATCAAGATTCCACTTTCCTTTCTTCCTCGAAATTTTCAAGCCACCTAGTCACACCTCCTATAAACTTCTCTCTCCTGTTTTGGATCTGTAACTAAGACCACTATATTATCAAATGGAATTTCTTAACAATCAAAACTACATGGTTTTACACTGAATTTGGGATTTTAATATTCTTCTGTTCTTTAATTTTGTTTCTTTTAAATGTCTGTTTCCTTTATATAAAGTCATTTAGTTAGGGAAAGTATAGATTCCTCTCTCCCTTTTTAAATTTCTCATCAGGACCTAGAATTCCCCTTCTCTGTGAAGCTTAAGTCTACATTGTACTTTTTCCCCCATCAGTATCCAGTAGGTTACCCTTCGGATAAGGAAGGGAAGAAGACTAAAGGACAGTCAAAGAAGGCAGGGGAAACCTCCAAAAGGCCAGTTCCAGATGATGGTAGGTAATGATTAAGAAAATAGATCCTAATAATATAATTTCTAATAAAGAGAAACTTGTAAGAAATTAAAAGCAAAGTGAAGAGGGGTGGTGGCAAGGCAGCGGAGGTGGGAGCTTTTTTTATTGTATTTTGATAGTGTCACAACCAAAACAGCAGCAAATATAGTATTCTACTCTCCAGAGGAAGTTAGATGCTGCTTTATGCAGGTTATCTTCGTGCTAAACTTTACTGGAGCCAGTTAACTAATATTCCATAGTTCTGCTTAGAACCACTTGTACGTCTACTGATATATTTTTAAATTAATCTAGATGCTTGTGCAAGTGCCTCCAAGGTGTACAAAGCAGATTCAGCAGAAGCAGTTGAGGCTTTCAAACTAACCCCTGAACAACAGCATCTAATTAGAGAAGATCATCAAAACCAGAAGCTATGGGATGAAGTGCTTGCACATCTTGTGGAAGGACCAGTATGTAAAGATTCTTTAAAAATTATAATTACATGCCTCTATTTTTCAACTTTAAGTATAGTTAACAAACAATATTAGTTTCAGGTGTACAATATAGTGATTAGACATTTATATACTTTACTAGAGGTCTGGTGCACAAAATTCGTGCACGGGGTTAAGGGGGGACAGTGTCCTCAGCCCAGCCTGTCCCTCTCCAATCTGGGATCCCTGTGGGATTGGGCTTAATCTGGTGGTCATATACCCCTCTTGCAATCCAGGACCACTGGCTTCTAACCACTCACCTGCCTGTCTGCCTAATGCCCCAACTGCCCTCCCATGCTGGCCTGGTCATCCCCAACGGCCCTCCCCTGCCCCTATCTGCCTCTGCCTTGGCCCCCACCAACATGGCTTTGTCCTGAAGGAAGTCGGATGTCTGGAAGATGGCCACTCATTCCAGCCTAATTAGCATATTACCCTTTTATTAGTATAGATAGATTATATAGGATAGGATTGCTTAAATAGGGGAGGAAAGAGCTTTTCTCAGCAGGAGGAGATGCTCTTGGTGAACAAAAATGCATAACCCCTATATCTGGACTGATAGCCAGCCATATGCACTCTACTGCCAAACTGGTTATTAAAAAATTGAACTGCTTTCTTACATCTTATATCAAACAGCTGTTGACCTTAAAACCCTTCCTCAGCCCCCACCTTACGTTCTGTTCACCCAGATTAGTTTCTGATTGGTCAGTTTCTATGCCAGCACCAAAAGCTCCACCTCTTAGGCAGCCATTGGCTCCTCACAGTTCACCCAGTTTGGTTCTGATTGGTCAGTTTCTGTGCCAGTCAGCATCAAAAGCTCCGCCTCCTAGGCAGCCATTGGCTCCTCTTGGAAATCCAGAACAGCCCACCTTCATGTCAGCGCCAACCCTTCAGTATGCCTCCAGTCTGCTACTGGGTGTGTGTCTGGCCAATCTGAGACACTGCACCTGAGATTTGTGCTGGTGGCAATTTTGAATTCTCATCCTTGACCTAACCTTACAATGCGAGCTCTGTGAAGGCAAGCATTTGTCTTGTTCATTCTTAGTTCATTCATAGATTTTACCTGTGTCTACGCATTTATGCTAGCACAAATGGTCGTTTCTGTTATCATGGTCACTGCCTTTTTATATATGTGGATGGAAATGGTCACCACGTTAAGTCTAGTAATCATCTGTCACCATATTTAGTCATTATAAGATTTTTAAATAATAATGTCCTAACATTAACAAATGATGAAAAATTTCCCTATAAAGTATCATTTTATAAAAAAATATATATATATATAATATATATATTATTATATATAGTGATTTCAGAGAGGAAGGGAGAGGGAGATAGAAACATCAGTGATAAGTGAGACTCATGGATTGGCTGCCTCCTGCATGCTCCCTATTGGGGATTGAACCCAAAACGCCTGGCATGTGCCCTTGACTGGAATCGAACCCAGGACCCTTCTGTCCTCAAGCCAAAGCTCTATCCACTGAGCCAAACCAGCTAAGGCTAAAGTATCATTTTTAGAAATCAGTCAAACTTGATCCTTTAAATCTTTTCATCCAGTGCCTCCAACTTTCAGAAACAATCTGAGGCAGTACTTACATAGTTTTAAATTTATTTTAGTTCTCTTTGATACTGATTTTTTTTATTCTCTGTACCTGAGCTTAATAATGTATGTTGAGGCTCATGGGAAGAATTTTCAATTTTGGAACATATGCAACTTAATCTAAAAATTATCAGGAAGATTTTTGTTATATAGTTCAAAGTTATCAAATAGCATAAGTCTTAAGCAATTCAGCACAATTTTTTAATATCTACATGTTCCACCTAAGGGTAAATAAATACTTCATGTTTTACATTTTTTTGGGTGGGTAATCATAAAATTTTTAAGTTAAAAAAGGAATGACAAAGTTGACTGATGTGTAGATTTTTTGTATTAAGCTGTGTTTTTTGGCAAACAAAGCTTTCTAATCAGATCCTCAAATGAATTGCCTTTTTATTTCTTGCTCATTTTTTTTTTATTGTCTTAAATTTTACTTACAAATTCACATCTTCTATTTTATTAAACATTAACCCCTTGTTATGTGTAATATAGTTACTTTTCTTTTTGTTTCCCCTCCACAAGTATTGTGATCTGAAGCTATTTTTGGTGACCTCTAATATCTTCTTTTGAAATTCCATCTTATCATCTTTTAGTAATTTCTTCCAATATTTATTTTCTTTCTCTCTGCATTAGCCAGATTTCTCATATGTCTAAAATAGGATTAATGAATATATGTGCTTTCTTATTTTTTTTTTTATTTTAGAGAAGATGGGGAGAGGGAGAGAGAGATAGCAACATCAGTGATGAGAGAGAATCATTGATCAGCTGCCTCCTGCATGATTGGGGATTAAGCCCCAATCCAGGCATGTGCCCTGACCAAGAATTTCCTGGTTCATAAGTTGACACTCAACCACTGAACCACCACAGCCAAACTGTATGTGCTCACTACCTATATTTAAAGGGAACTCTCTTAAGAGTTTTTGTGTTGCTTTTGTTTCAGAGATAGTCATCATTATTATGGGTGTTGCAGAGGTACAGTCAATTTGCATATTTCTCTTTTATTAGTGTAGATAGTAACTATGCTGCATATTATATCACCAGGAGTTATTTACTTTATAACTAGAAGTTTGTACCTTTTGACTCTTCACCCATTTAACTTACCCCCAACCTCACCCCTGGCAGCCACTAATTTGTCCTCTACATTTATGAGGTTAGGTTTGTTTGTTTGTTTGTTTGTTTGTTTGTTTGTTTAGGTTCCACATTTAAGTGAGATCATATAGTATTTGTCTTACACTTTGGGATCTTTGATTTTTTCTTTTTACTTGAAATTCTTGTAAATATTACTTTTCTATTACATTAACATAAAATATACTCCTTTTTTACTAAAAATAACTGAATGGAGAATTATCCTTGTGACTATTAAAAAAAAAACTGCTTATCCTAATTTAAAAGAAACAAAAAGTTTGGGCAGAACATTACGTATTTGAAGAGTGTGGAACACCTATTGGATCACATTTGCTTTCTCTTGCTCTAACTTTTATTAATTTAGTCCCAATTTGAGTATACATTAGCATGAGGGAAATATGGACTTTGGGGTTGAGACAAAATATTACAGAAAATAGTCCTAGGAAAATATGTTGATTCTTTAGGGTCTTAGATATTATAGAGTATTATTACTGCACTTTTTTTTTTAAGCTCAAATTAATATTCAAGTTTTGTAGCAAAAGATTGAATAAATAATGCATTTTCATATACTGGAATACCATATAACTTTTTGGAAGATGTATATAATGATCTTGAAACAAGCTGTTTGTGATTTTTATTCTTTATTTAATTTTGTTGTGTTGTGTTTTTTGTTTTTTTACATTGCCATTTATCCCCCATATACCCTCTTCTACCTCCACCACCCCCAGCCAGTCACCACACTGTTGTCTGTGTCCATAAGCCATAATATTTTATAACAGTGAAAAATAATCTCTGAAACGTGAGGTTTGTGTGGGCGGCATTTAGATTTTAATGTTACATGTTTGACTTTGCAATCTTTCCAACCCAATTCTGAGATTTAAAACTAATGTGTATATCTTATAAATTGGTTTTTTTCCCGTTTCTGTGACATGTTTGCTAATCATTGCAATCACTACTTGATTTTTTCTTAATTAAAACCATTAAATGTAACAGAGACACTTTAAAAAATCATTTTGTATTTTATTAATATGTTATGAAATGCTAACCTATTTGTTCTTCCTTTTGGATATCATCTAGAATTTTCTGAAAAAATTGGAACAGTCCTTTATGTGTGTCTGCTGCCAGGAGCTAGTTTACCAGCCTGTAACAACAGATTGCCTCCACAATGTCTGTAAAGTAAGTAGAATTTCTTTCCCGTTTTCCCTTATTGGCCAGAAGGCACACTGACCTCCAGAACTGTTTCTACCATGTGAAGAAGCATTTTTCCATAAAACAAAATAGTCATAGAACCTTGCCAATTCAGAAGCGTTTTATTATATATTAGTGGTAAGTGTGTGTTTTAATTAGATAGTAATAGTAAATCAAATATATGTACAGTTGAGGTATTCTATCATATTTGGCATTGTTAGGAAGAGGTTGAAATGGAGAAGAGAAATAGGTGTCATTGCGTTTTTTTCTTATACCTTTCATATGTTTCGTATAGTTTAGTGTAAACTTAAATAGTTGCAAGTATATAAGGGGGATCTAAAACAGATTCTATCTTGCAGCATGCTCAGAGGAGTTGAATATTGTGTTGTGAAAGGAAAATTTGAGCAATAGTAAAAACAAGGTTGGAATCTTGCTCTACTACTTGGTGGTGTGTGCCCTGAGCTAAGTTAAGTGATTAGTTCTAAGCAGGGGAATCTTCAAGGTTTTTTTTCTTTCTTTTTTTTCTTTAGTGCTCTATCAGAAAAGAACAGGGTTAAAATCCAACCTAGAAGATGAGGCTAGTGAGAACCATAATCTTTAACACCCTCATTTTACTGGATGAGGAAATTAAAGCACACAGAAGTTGAATCATTTACCTGAACTCTCACAGTATGTTCTAGAACGATGATTTCAATTGGTGTGCTGCAAGAATTTTTAAAATGTGCAGTACCTGACTGTTTGGTCAGGGGCAGTGACCTCTTTTTTTTCTTAGATTGTCTATATATATATATATATATATGATAACAGCTAAAATTTAAAAAATGACAACAGCCAATACAACAATAGCCATCCAATGTGAATGCCCTGTCTCAAACCATAAATAATATATAGGTCATATAATAGAGTTTGCATCTTATTGGTCATGTGCACAATAGGTTGTGTCTGGTTGGTTAATTCTTGGTACCAGAATTTTTTATAGACAAGTATAGGTACCTGATATTTTAAAAAGTCTCTTAACTCTTACCTCCCCTGCCCCCACAAATCAATAAAAAAAAATGCTGCTTTTTTTTTTTTTTTTTTTTTTTTTTTGTCATATTGGCAAAAAGTAGTTTTTTTGTGGGTTTTTTTTTTTTTTTGGTATGCTGCAAAATTTTAGTAATTAGTTTGTGTGTGCCATAAGATAAAAAAGGAAGTTGAAAATTGAAAATTGCTGTGCTAGAGGAAGAGCTAAAGCCATGTCTATAGACTCGTGTTCATAGTATAGATTCAGGCCTTTAATGGTTTTTCATCTTTTATGTTTTTCTTGTTGCTAAACAGTACGTTTCTAATTATTATTTAAAAGCATAAATTGTTGACTCCTTTTCTACATGCTTTACCAGATGAAATTGGATGTAGTTTTGGATTTTTGTTTTGTTTTTTACCTTAGGATTGTTTGCAGCGTTCCTTTAAGGCTCAAGTTTTCTCCTGCCCTGCTTGCCGGCATGATCTTGGCCAGAATTACATCATGATTCCCAATGAGAGTCTGCAGACTCTACTTGACCTTTTCTTTCCTGGCTACAGCAAAGGACGATGATCTGTCTACAACCACTGTGTTGCTCCTGGTGATTTTTTTGGACAGTAAAGAATCTAAAGTGGTTGAGGGTGGGTAGGGGTGGAAGCAATGTTGGACCATATCTCTCATGTTCTGAAGCAGCTAATCCTCTTTTCCTACATAGTCATCATCTTGTGTGTGTAGTTAAGAGGCCCATTTCTCAACTGTCTTTTAAATATCAAAAGGTAGTTCCTGTCAGTAACAACTAGTTGTAATGAGTAGAAGTTGAAGCCTCAGCTCTAGTTGATATCCAAGTTATGATTTATTTTGCAACTACCTCAGGACAGAAAAGATTTATGGGGATTTTTAAATCATTGAATAATTAGTTAAATGAAATTTTAGCTACACACTGCCTCCCAGATATTAGTTGTGCCTGGTTCATGTAATTTGATTTTACAGAAAAGGAAATGACACTTGAGATCGTTGGAATGAACGCAGCTTCTGTAGTGTGTGCAAAATACATTTTTAATATCTTCCATTACAATGTGTGTTTTACAAGAAAAGGTTCATTTTTTAGCCCATTTTGTGAGCTCCATTGTGCTTTTTTCTGGTGTTTTATGCAAGTTGACTACTAATGACTAATGAGAACAATATGAATGCATTGTTGCTGCATTGTAATGTGTGATTTTGCACTTAAAAGAAGTATTTGGATGCTCTGATTGTAACTGTTTATGAAAAGAGTCTTCTGTACTAGTCAAACTGCTTTTATTGAGTCTCACCAGTGGTTTTACATCTGCAGAGCATTGAGGACTGGGCTGACTTTTGAGAGGGCTGAAATTGCTTCATATTGTGATCCTAAATTTTATATTCACTGCTCCCAAAAGTATACCTTAATAAATATTTTATGACCAGCAGAATAGCTCATCTTGCTTCACTGTTTTACGTTTGTCTGGCCTGTAGTACATGCGCTTAAGAATCAGTCATTTCCAGAGTATTTCATTGTACGTTTTTATTGATACAGGTATTTTTTTTAAAGATGTTTTATTTTCTGTAGTAGTTTTGGGTTTATAGTGAAATTGAGAGGAAGGTACAGAAGTTTTTCATATGTTCCTCGCTCTCTCTGCAACCTCCCCCATTATCTATATTTCCCGCCAGAGCAGTCATTTGTTACAATTGATGAACCTATATTAACACGTCATTCTTACCCAAAGTCCGCAGTTTACATTAGGATTCACTCTTGGAATTATACATTCTATGGGTTTGGACAAATATATAATGACATGTATTCAATATACAATATTATACAGAGTTTCTTTTTAAATTAAGCCATTTTTCAGTTCCAGTTGACATACAATATTGTATTACTTTTTAGGTGTACACCCAGTGATTAGACATTACACTGGTGTAACTTACTAAGTGATCACGCGAATAAATCTACCGGTCTAATAATTCATAGTTATTAGAGTATTATTGACTGTATTCCCTACACTGTATGTACTTTACATGCACATAACCATTCGGCCGGACTTCAGATGGTTCTCAATGATGTTTGTCCTTTTTTAGTTGTATTGATACAGACATTCTTGCACAATTTTTCACTCTTTGATTTTCAGTAACAAGAACTAATACTGGTGGGAAAAGGAGCCATTTTGGGGGGCTAGCAATCTGAATCTGTGCCAGTAACCTAATGCACATTCTTGTTAGCCAATAGTCTAGTCACTGCCCCTTCTTTAATTATCTGGTCCTGCAAGACCTGTTTACCTAAGTACTACTCCCATTTTAGAGAGGCCATAAACCATGAACAATACTCAACCACAGACAGAGTTATCAGCACTGGCGCCAGGCCAGGCCTTAAGGTGAGATCTCACAGCCCCCACCCCAACACATAGGGCTATTTGCAAAGCTTGCACAAGGTCCAGAAGTCCCATCCCATATTTGAGGGATCATCTGGTAAATTCTGTAACAATATGAAATCTTAAGCACTGCCCAGCCTGTGTGGCACAGTGGTTGAGCATTGGCCTATGAAATAGGAGGTCATGGTTCGATTCCCGGTCAGGGCACATTCCCAGGTTGCTAGTTTGATCCCCAGAGGGCATGTAGAAGGCAGCCGATCAATGATTCTCATCATTGATATTTCCCTCCCTTTTTCTCTGAAATCAATAAAGATATATTTTTTAAAATCTTTTTTAAAAATAATGGAAAAATATCCTCAGATAACAAAAACATTTTTAAAAAAAATAGACATCAGTGATGAGAGAGATTCATTGATCAGCCGCCTCCTGCACGCCCCCACTGGGGATTGAGCCCACAAGCCAGGCATTTGCCGTGACTTCCTGGTTCATAGATCGATGCCCCCCCCAGCTGGTTTAGTTGCTATTTTTTTTATGGGGGAAAGAAGAATGTTTCACCATCATATCCATGTCTTTGAACCAGAGATGACAGTATTTCACACTCCAGTTCAGTTTCTCAAAAAAAAAAAATGCTACCAGTATCTCCTCATACATTATTTCACTTATTACTCAAAACCTGTGAAGTAAATGGTTTTACCTCCATTTTACAGACAAGGTAGTGGTTTCAGAGTTAATCACCTAGGTCACAGGCAGTCAGCAGCAGACTTAGAATATAAACTCAATACTGTGTGTTACTTTTCCATTGCTTTCTCTGCTTCACTGTGTTACTTATTTTTAAGTTCTATTACATCCTTTGGCCCTTTGAAAGAGATCTAATGTGTAGTGTGACTGAGTTCATCTAAAAGTACCTGTGTGGTTGTTGTATCGCACATCATTTCTTTCAGAGACTCTTCTCATTTTCATAATTATAACAACCAGGGGCTGCATTCTTAAATGAAACTGGTTTCTGGGAAATAATGAAATTGTTTAAGGACTATATTGAGCTTGCTTAACTGTGCCATTCCTCCAGAACTGCCTCCTGCTCCCTGGCATTAGGCTTCAGATTAACAGCATTTCTCAGTGGCAGACTCCATGAGAGTCCCAGGTGAAAGGCTCTCTTTTTGACAAAACACAGAAGTAGTGCTAACTCACCATTCCTCCCCACATGGCTGGCATCACATCCAACACTCACTCCTTTGCTATTTGCAAATTTATTTATCAGCCTACCCAACTGTCTCCTTTCATGGGAAGCATTTTCCTCATTGTCTTTTGGAATGCATTTGAAGCAGCTTCTTTTAACCAATAAAAGCATTTAGTTCTTTTATTTTGAGAAACTCATATTCCTGTGTAGTTCACGTTGGATAAAAGGTAGTAAATGGAAGTGAGTTACTTTTTTCCCCCCATTCTTTATGCCAGTCTTTTAAAAAGGATTAGGTCCCAGTGACAGCACCTTTGGGGCGGGAAATCTGAATTTTTTTTTTTTTTTTTTAGGATGCCTGACATCACTCCTGGTGCCCGGGATTCCACCCTGTTTGGGGGAGTTTGGCTGCTATTTAAAGCACTTAAATCTCACCAAGTCTTTGTTTTTTTTTCTAATAATCTTCAGAAGTGCTTTTGTAGGAAATTTGAAATGTCACACTCGAACCATACAAACATATTTACTAATAATATTAAAATGCACAATTGTATCAAAAGCACACTAAAATTTCTCTCGTATCAGTTTTAAAAACCCTAACCTCTTAAAAGAGGTCTAGACACCTGAAAGTCCTAACAGCCCATTAAAAAAATAGCTTAGGCCGAAACCGGTTTGGCTTAGTGGTAGAGCGTTGGTCTGCGGACTGAAGGGTCCCAGGTTCAATTCCGATCAAGGGCATGTACATTGGTTGCGGGCACATCCCCAGTGAGGGGTGTGCAAGAGGCAGCTGATCAATGATTTTCTCTCATCAATGTTTCTAACTCTCTATCCCTCTCTCTTCCTCTCTGTAAAAAATCAATAAAAATATATTTTTTCAAAAAAGCTTAGAGTTGATTTCTCCTACTCTACCATCAATTCTTTTGAATTTAGAAGAATTGCAAGCCATCTCCAACCTGCATCATAGATGTTAATTTGTAAAATGACAGCCATGGCCTGTGACTTGATGTAGGTTAAAAATGAAATGATCTTGTTTACAAATATTTCCTATAGGAAATGATGTAGAGGGAGTGGCTAGATTCCCAGGTTAGCCTATAAAACCAATTAAGCCATAATCTACCAATCAGCACTCTTGTTTGGAAAAGGCACCCAATAACTGCTGCTTACATGCACCAGAGACCTCCAAATTAACTGCATTTCCAAACAAACTTTGGGGTAGGTGATGTGACGGCCAGAATTGTAATTCATATCAGGGACGTAGGGCCATCCCCGGGGAGCTGTATGTGTGAAAGGTGTGGAGGAGACTGGGAGAAGCTCCAGGTGGAACATGGGGACAGGTATGAAGGATGGGAGTGAGGGTGGGAGGTGAAAACAAGTGCTTAGTGAAGCCAGCACTGGAATTGCATATGAACAGAAGGAAGGAAAAGCACATCATACACAGGCACACAAACACTCCACATTAATCACATGTCAGGACGCCTGCCTACATACATCACAGCAATGCACAAGTGGGTCCTCCAGCCCCTCAGCTCAGCCTCTGCGGTCTTGGGAACTGTCCACCAGCCCTGTCCTCGGGGACTGCTGCTGTGCGTGCTCACATTTCACCTTCAGAGACACTCTAGCCTCTGGCATTGGCATTTTCTCCCACTTGGTCCCCTCAGTTGAATCATTCTGCCTCGTTGGTTTCCAAAAGAATACTTCCTGGCTCTTTTTCTCTGAGGACCCTACTCTCCCGCACATCTTTCCTTCCAGTGCATGGGGTCCTCCCTCGGCCCCTTTACTGACAGGCTGGCCCACTCCCTGGCCTTTGCTCTGTTGTCTGGTGCTCGCTGTGCTCTGTCTCATCCTGGGATTTGGACCCCAGATCTGTTTCTCCCTTGCCTGCCCCTCTCTCAAACTTGGGACCTCCTCCCCCTCTACCCCCTTCCCTTTGCCATTTTAAACTGACTTTTCATCCCCTCCCTCCCCCATTCTCGTGATCTCTCTTCCTGATTCCAGGGAGACCTCCTGGGCTTGTTGCT